TCTTTACCCATGAGTAATGTGCATGCATGAAGTACAAAACTTTGATAACACAAACAATTTAAGCATAAATTATTTGAATTAAAAATTAATATTAAGACAAAAAAATAACCAATTTTATAGATTTTCACCATAAGAAATAATGTATATAAATTTTCCATGTGACCGATTGAGTGGAATACAATTATAAACACACCCAAAAGAGTTAGAAAAATTTAAATCAAATCTCACACGGAAGAGTAATTTTGTACCTAAAAAAATTAGATATTGATTTAAACTATCAAAATTTGGGCCCTAAAAATTTGAATCATATCTAAAATACAAAATATAATATAAAAAAGGTTTATTATACTAAAGTGGTAAATTTTATGAAGGCCTTCTATTTTTTGGGCTTAATTAAGTAGAGAGTAATTTTGGATCTAACAAAATTAAATATTGATTTGAACTGATAAAATTTGAACCTTAAAAATTTTAAACATATTTAAAATAAAAAATGAGGCTTACTATATTAAAGGGATAAATATTTTGGAGGCTCTCTAAAATTTGGGACCTCTCTAAAATTTGGGGCCCTAGGCAAGCAACTTAGGTGCCTAGGGGTTGGGTTAGGCATGAGATAAATAAAAAAATTGGTTTTATCTAATTTTTTTGTTCCACAATATCTTTCGTTTTATGAAACTAAAGCATAATTAATATTTTTTCTTCCAAATTTACCTTTATCTCTATTTTCTAATAAGTGCTTAATAAATTAAGTGTAGACTAAGTGTCTTTCATATTCTTTTCCTTTTTAATACATATTGAATAAGAGTATTTTAGTCTTGTGCAATTATTTTTTACTCATACTAGAGCTATTTAATAGCTTCCTTAATCCCTGTGCAAAAACCTTAAACGACAGATATTTAGGAACGGAGGGAGTAATACTTAGCGACAATACATGTTTGTCGCAAAAAAAAAAGTTAAAATTATTTTGCTTGGCGACAATTTATATTTGGTCGCAAAATATCACTACAAGAAAAAAATTTTACTGCGATGACTTTTTGCAACGTGTAAGAAAAATTGTCGCAAAAAAAAAAAAATATTCTACGGGTTGTGTTTGGATGAGAACTGTCAAGCCATTTATTACACGTTTACTCATTTAAATAAAATTAATATAATAATAATAAATTAATAATTATTTTAAAAAATTAGCCAAAAAAAAAGATGTAAAGAAATCAATACAAAAAAAAATATAAAACAGTAGTTTAAAGACAAAAAGAGAGAGGATGGGGAGCAGTTCAAAGACAAAGGCAAACCAATATCTTTTCTTTTTGTCCCACATCGGCAAATGAGGTGAGATAGAGAGGGTTGACTTGTCTATAAAAGGTAGTGGTCTCTTGCCTTTAATTTTGTAACCTTAAAGTTTGATTTTTATGTAAGATTTGACTAGAAATTACACTTTTTTTAGGTAAGTACAACAATAAAAAAAATAGAGTATTAAAATTTATTTATATAATTTTTTTAAAAATTAAACTGGTTAAACGAGTCGTGTCGTATTACTGGTTTATAAAATTTGTTCATTTGTTATTTGGCATCGAAATAATATTAGTTGCAAAAAATGTACCTTAATTTTTAGCGACAAATATTATGTCATCACTAAAGAGAAAAAATATGACTATAATATAATTTTTTTTTGACGACTAAGGTTTTTTTATGACAAGCAGATGAATTTTTAAGCGACTAAATTTTTTGTCACTAATAATTTACTTTAGCGACGATACTTTAGTTAGTCGTCAAAAACTTTCAATGGCGAGCCTGTCCCGATAAATTGGCAACCAAATTTTTTTGTCACAAAAAATTTTTAGTGGCGAATTATTCACTTTTAGCGACGATTTTTTTTTCCTACTAAAAAATATTTTTCTTGTAGTGTATTAATTTTTATTCACAATAAAAAAAATTAGGTAGACAGAGGGTTATGGCTCTTCCACTATGTATTAACTATGATTTATAACATTATTTATAACATAATAATATATTTTCTACCTTTTTCTATCCTCCACCATATGATTATCTGCAGCTAGGAAAAGTTAGCAAACAACGATATCATTTATATCTCTTAATCTTCTTTTGTTTAATCTTGTTTTTGAACAAGTTCTCCCTATCAGAAAACGGGACAAAAATTCTCCAATCGTCATACAAATCAGTTGAAAAACCTTTTAGCTTCTCTCTCCCACCATCTAGTTTGAAAAATTTTATCTTCTCTCTCCTTCCCTCTCTCTCTTTCTCAAACACCCCTCCGAAATTGAACAAATCACATATATATAATATTTTTTATTAATATTTTATATACAAAAATTATTCACGTGCAACGCACGTGATTCATTGCTAGTATCAAAGAAAAATATAACAAAGTATAGAGGAAAATGGTGTTTTGGTCAATCACTCTCTCTCTCTCTCTCTCTCTCTCCACCACAAAAAAAAACCAACAAAACCAAATCTTCTTGCCGTATATATAGACATAAATATATAATTATACACATGTATGATGAATGACTTGTCGACATTTGAGAGTAATGTAGATCGCATTGACTAGCTCATTACTGAACTGTTTGCACACAAATAAAGGTTAGTCTAGTGGCAGTTTAATCACCTCATAAATTTGCCACGAGAATAGATTAAAGGTTTGAATATTCCACGAAGCCTAATTTTTGGTGCTGTAGCCTGTCTTACAAAAAAAAAACATTTTAGTAATTTTCGAAATTTACATATTGGCAATTTGGGTCTTGGGTAGTTAACAGAGCTCTCATAATAGACATTGACCATTCATTTCTCATCCACATTTTAATACTTTAGCTGTGTGATCTATCTTATATCATTCTCGTAGTGGCGTGCCAAACATTAAAGTTTGACCGGAGGATTTCACACGGCGATGCAAACTCCCTCCCTTATTGAGCACTTATGGTATCTTGCCTGGTGACTGGAACAAAGTAGTTCAACAGGAGAAAGAAGCCAAGGGGCATCCCTCCATTTCTCTTTTCCTTTATCTTAGATTTGGATTTAATTACGGTACCGAAAAAAAATTATTATGGTATTGCACGTCTAACTTTTACCACCGTATTTGGTGTTTTTATAACTTTTATGAGTTATGTTACCTCTTTAATTGGTGTTTTTATAATTTTTATGGGGTTACTTTACAACTGAAAAATTTATCTTTTTTGTAGGTGATTTATCACTTTTGTGGGTGTTTTATTATATTTATAATAACTATTTTTACCACTTTTATTTGATACAAAAAAATTTGCCACATTTGTGAGTATTTTTACTATACCTATAAGTGTTTTTTTATCACATTTGTAAATATTTTTTTTCACTATAGTAATCAAATTCCTTGGATTTATTAATCTAGGAGAGACCAACCATTGGGATAAAGTTTCAAGAATGTTAGTGAGACATAACTTATTGACTTATTTTACCGATCTAATTCACTATAATCATTGGATTAATTGTGGATCACATTAAACATTAGAATTTTGTGTTAATATAACGATTACAACGAAGTCACATTATTAGGGTAATAAATTAAGTCAAATTTTTTAATCTCATTTAACATTACTGACTTAAGCTTCGGAGGAGATAAGTCGGGTGATCACCCGGCCCCTTTTCTGACCGCTTAGTTGTTTTAGGTTCATCATCAAGAGGATCGTTATCTCTATTTATTGCTGAAATTCTCTTGTTCTAAATTATTTATAGATAAGAAACGTATTTGAGTCGAGCTGAATTTGTTTTTGAGATATATGTTACTCAAATTTGATTTGTTTTTTTAAAGGAGTTCAAAAATTTGATTAAAATTCGGTTTATTTAATGATATTAATAAGTTAAAAGTGAGGCGGACTTGAACTTCTCAAATCATTTAACAAGCCTAGCTAAAGAAAAACCTATCTCAAACAAATATTGGGTTAAAGACCATAGTAGCCTAGCCACATTTTTATTCTTTCTCCTTATATAATGTAATAGCCCGAAATTATCCAATATCCCCTCACTTTAACTCTCATATATTTTTCATCAATTTTTTGAATCATAAACCATTAATTTTGAATTTATGTTATATTATGTCATTTATTGAAATAAAAATTTAATTTTTAAAAAAAAATTGTATTTAGTGTACAAATATACTATTTATTCGAATAAAACTAAAAAATAAAATAGGAGTCAAACTACAATGAAAGCAATATATTCTAACTTTAATTAGAGTAATCTGATAATTTATTTTAGATGTTTAAACAACCAAATTAAATTTTAATAGATAATTATGATTTTTTTAAAAAAAATTAATTTTTATTTTTAATTTTATTTTATTAAGTATCATAATAGAATAAAAATTTTGGTTATAAAATTTAAAATATTTAATATTTTATCTTTGATTGAAGTATTTTTGGTTTAATTATAACATTTTAAAATTGAAGGGTTTAAGTATTACACATCTACAAACTTCAGTGAGTCTGGTTGTAATTTACTAACGGATATAGTAGACGGCAGGGGTTTAAGTGTTACTCGCGTACAAATTTTGAAGGGTCTGTTTATAATATCACTAATGCTATTGTGACATAATTTAGTAATATAATGAGTTGTCACCAATGAAAAGATAGTGAAATATATTTAATGATGAGTCTTATTGTAGCATTAGTAAATTTATTATCATATTTTTGGTAATAATTCATTATGTGTATAAATTATATTCTAATAACAATACTCATATAATATTTTAAATATTAAAAAATTTGAGTGATTAGCATATAAATATCTTGAGGTGTTGCCTTGGGGAAAAAAGTACGAAGCTGACTTGGGAACGCGTTATAGCCGCCCAGGAATCAATCCAAAACCAAAGTCTTCCAAGTCCACGCAGCCTTTTACCAGTACATTTCTTCTATACATAACCTCTACTTCTTCATCACCACTACCCCTTCAGCTTCATCATCAGTCACCAGACTCACCACCATCATACACCATATCTTTCAAAGCTCATACCACCCATGTTCACCATAACTCTACACATCTCCTTCTTTCTCTACCTCCTCTTCTACACCACCGCCGCCGCCGCTACCATCGGCCACACCGCCAACGCGACACCTTACATTCCGAGCGACTACTTTCTCCTCGACTGTGGTTCATCTTCTAGTTTGAACGATGCCAAAGGCCGGAACTGGAGCGGAGATGCCCTCTCCAAATTCTCGCCGTCAAACATTTCAAACACATCTTTGGAATCTACAGCATCCAAGCAAGACCCTTCTGTCAATAAAGTCCCCTACATGACTGCTCGTATCATTCACTCTCAATTCACCTACACCTTCCCAGTCTCCATCGGACCAAAATTCATTCGTCTCTATTTCTACCCAGTTAATTACTCTAACCTGGACATAGCCAACTCTTTCTTCAACGTCACCTCCGGCGGCTACACCCTCTTAAGCAACTTCAGTGCCTTTCTCACTGTCTCTGCCATGAAACCCGCAGTTGCTTCCCTAAGAAAGGAATTCATCGTCAACGTTAGGAACAACCACATACTGAACATAACCTTTTTGCCGTCTCCGAACTCTTACGCCTTCGTTAACGGCATTGAAGTCGTTTCAATGCCGGAAAATCTCTACATTCGCGGCAGTGATCATCAAATTCGACTAGTCCCGAACCAAATATTTCACAATATTGATAACAGCTCTGCTCTTGAGACTCTCTATCGATTAAATGTTGGCGGTAATGAGGTCTCAATAACCAATGATACCGGAATGTTTCGTTTATGGCTTCCGGACGACGATTACACCTACTCAGCTTATGGGTTTACACCTCACAGGGAAGTCTCAATCCAATATACAAAGGACACACCACCTTACACTGCACCGCAGATCGTTTACACAACCTCAAGGACCATGGGCAACGACAGTGAAAGTTACAATCTGACATGGAAATTTCCTGTTGATTCTGGGTTTTATTATCTTCTCAGACTCCATTTCTGCGAGATTCAATTGGAGGTGACCCTCGAGAACCAAAGGGTTTTTATAATATACATCAACAATCAAACGGCACAGAGAGGAGCAGATGTTATCCAGTGGAGTGGTGGCACTAGAATCCCAGTGTTCAAAGACTACGTCATCAAGGTCACCGACCCAGATGGTCGCCAGAGCAAGCAAGACTTGTGGCTCGCTATGTACCCTGAGCTCGACTTTAAACCCGAGTACGCTGATGCTATATTGAATGGTTTAGAAATCTTCAAATTGAATAGAACAGACGGTAGTCTGGCGGGGGCAAACCCTGAACTTGTACTCAGTCCACCGTCGGGACCATTCACCTTGTCACCGCAGAAGAAGAACAATAAAGAAACACCTAGGTTGGCGGTCATTATCGGCACCGTAGTCGGAGGAGGGTCTGTTCTAGTCTTGATCTTAGGTTTCTTGATTTTTCGACGACGGAGGAGAGTGAAAGCCTTGGGCTCAACTCAGCCCAAGTCGTCGTGGGTCCCCTTATCTGACGGTTCAAAGTCCACAAAAACCAGCGGTTCATCACTACCGTCTGATCTATGCAGACGCTTTTCACTTGAGGAGATCACATCAGCTACATGCAACTTCGATGACAATTTTGTCATCGGGGCAGGAGGATTTGGTAATGTGTATAAGGGCCACATCGACAACGGTGCAACCACCGTTGCGATCAAACGATTGAACCCATCATCAAATCAAGGGGCCCGCGAGTTTCAAACAGAGATCGGTATGCTATCGAAGTTACGCCACCTCCATCTGGTGTCGTTGATCGGTTATTGCAACGACAATCGTGAGATGATCTTGATTTATGATTATATGGCCCACGGGACCCTCCGTGATCATCTTTACAAATCAAAGAAACAACCCATTCCGTGGAAGCAACGCCTTCAGATTTGCATTGGCGCTGCAAAGGGACTACATTATCTCCACACAGGTGCGAAACGCACAATCATTCACCGTGATGTGAAGTCCACCAACATTTTATTGGATGAGAAATGGATGGCTAAGGTTTCTGATTTCGGGTTATCCAAATTGGGTCCCAAGGATGTGGGTCATAGCCACGTCAGTACAGTGGTGAAGGGTAGTTTCGGGTATATTGATCCAGAATATTATAAACGACAACAATTGACAGAAAAATCCGACGTGTACTCATTTGGTGTTGTTTTATTTGAGGTTTTATGTGCTAGACCAGCTATAATTCTAAATTTTCCCGAGGAGCCAGTGAGTTAGGCCAAGTGGGCCCGAAATTCTTATAGGAAAGGGAACCTTGATCGGATTGTTGATCCTAATCTAAAGGGTGAGATTGCGCCAGAGTGTTTGAGGAAGTTTGGTGAAGTAGGTGATAGTTGCTTGCGGGATAATGGTATCGATCGTCCAGGAATGAATGATGTTGTGTGGGGCCTTGAGTTTGCGCTACAACTTCAAGAGGCAGCTGAGAAGATGGCTCACGGTGGTGGTGGGTTGCTCCCGGCAGCGTTAGCCAGTCCCTCTGCTCCTCTTCTACATGGAGAGGCAACGACCACCGATGATGATGAAGTATTTACTGGGTCAGTTGAAAACATGTCAAGATCAACGGTCAGCAATGAGAGATTGAAGTCGGAGACTGTGTTCTCTGAGATCATGAATCCCGCTGGACGTTGAGAAAGTGAATGCTCTTCGGGTGGGTCCTCCGTGGGGTCCAGATTTTTGGCCTTCACGTTGACCGACTTCTGAAAGGTCAAGTAGCTTATTATAGTCTTCTAGTTTTGTCTATTATCAGCATGACTTTTATGAAAAATATTTAGCCCATTATAAATAGGACAAAAGAATAAAGGACGTCTTTGATTTTTGTCAATGAGTTAAATGTTGTGTTTAATAACTAACTGATGATGCCAGAAGAAAATATACTGTTCGCACCGTTCACTTTAGGTTGGCTGCTACCCTGGTCCCTGATTAAAAAAAATTAATTTTAAATAAGTTTATTTGAGCAACTTAAAATTTAAATAAATATGGAACTCACGCCTCTAAATTAGTGGGATCAAGTTTAAACGCGTTTTCTTCTGCGAGAAGATGAACATTGTATATTTATTTGTTTAAAATCATAAAATATTGAATGAGAAATTATTTCTCAATGTGACCTATTTGAACGCAGATCGTAATTAAATTTTCAACTTAAATTTAAAATCATTATTTTAAATAAAATTAATATAATAATAATAAATTAATAATTATTTTAAAAAATTAGCCAAAAAAAAAGATGTAAAGAAATCAATACAAAAAAAATATAAAACAGTAGTTTAAAGACAAAAAGAGAGAGGATGGGGAGCAGTTCAAAGACAAACGCAAACCAATATCTTTTCTTTTTGTCCCACATCGGCAAATGAGGTGAGATAGAGAGGGTTGACTTGTCTATAAAAGGTAGTGGTCTCTTGCCTTTAATTTTGTAACCTTAAAGTTTGATTTTTATGTAAGATTTGACTAGAAATTACATTTTTTTTTAGGTAAGTACAACAATAAAAAAAATGGAGTATTAAAATTTATTTATATAATTTTTTTAAAATTAAACTGGTTAAACGAGTCGTGCCGTATTACTGGTTTATAAAATTTGTTCATTTGTTATTTGGCATCGAAATAATATTAGTCGCAAAAAATGTACCTTAATTTTTAGCGATAAATATTATGTCATCACCAAAGAGAAAAAATATGACTATAATATAATTATTTTTGAAGACTAAGGTTTTTTTATGACAAGCAGATGAATTTTTAAGCGACTAAATTTTTTGTCACTAATAATTTACTTTAGTTGATCGTCAAAAACTTTCAATGGCGAGCCTGTCCCGATAAATTGGCAACCAAATTTTTTTTGTCACAAAAAATTTTTAGTGGCGAATTATTCACTTTTAGCGACGATTTTTTTTTCCTACTAAAAAATATTTTTCTTGTAGTGTATTAATTATTATTCACAGTAAAAAAATTTAGATAGACAGAAGGTTATGACTCTTCCACTATGTATTAACTATGATTTATAACATTATTTATAACATAATAATATATTTTCTACCTTTTTATATCCTCCACCATATGATTATCTGCAACTAGGAAAAGTTAGCAAACAACGATATCATTTATATCTCTTAATCTTCTTTTGTTTAATCTTATTTTTGAACAAGTTCTCCCTATCAGAAAACGGGACAAAAATTCTCCAATCGTCATACAAATCAGTTGAAAAACCTTTTAGCTTCTCTCTCCCACCATCTAGTTTGAAAAATTTTATCTTCTCTCTCCTTCCCTCTCTCTCTTTCTCAAACACCCCTCCGAAATTGAACAAATCACATATATATAATATTTTTTATTAATATTTTATATACAAAAATTATTCACGTGCAACGCACGTGATTCATTGCTAGTATCAAAGAAAAATATAACAAAGTATAGAGGAAAATGGTGTTTTGGTCTCTCTCTCTCTCTCTCTCCCACAAAAAAAAACCAACAAAACCAAATCTTCTTGCCGTATATATAGACAGGAATATATAATTATGCACATGTATGATGAATGACTTGTCGACATTTGAGAGTAATGTAGATCGCATTGACTAGCTCATTACTGAACTGTTTGCACACAAATAAAGGTTAGTCTAGTGGCAATTTAATCACCTCATAAATTTGACACGAGAATAGATTAAAGGTTTGAATATTCCACGAAGCCTAATTTTTTGTGCTGTAGCCTGTCTTACAAAAAAATACATTTTAGTAATTTTCGAAATTTACATATTGGCTCTTGGGTAGGTAACAGAGCTCTCATAATAGAGCCATTATCAATTTTGTCCTCATCCAATGTGGTGCAAGCTCTCTCATAATAGACATTGGCCATTCATTTCTCATCCACATTTTAATACTTTAGCTGTGTGATCAATCTTATATCATTCTCGTAGTGGCGTACCAAACATTAAAGTTCGACCGGAGAATTTCACACGGCGATGCAAACTCCCTCCCTTATTGAGCACTTATGGTATCTTGCCTGGTGACTGGAACAAAGTAGTTCAACAGGAGAAAGAAGCCAAGGGGCATCCCTCCATTTCTCTTTTCCTTTATTATAGATTTGGATTTAATTACGGTACCGAAAAAAAATTATTATGGTATTGTACGTCTAACTTTTACCACTGTAATTGGTGTTTCTATAACTTTTATGAGTTATGTTACCTCTTTAATGGGTGTTTTTATAACTTTTATGGGGTTATTTTACAACTAAAAAATTTATCATTTTTGTAGGTGATTTATCACTTTTGTGGGTGTTTTATTATATTTATAATAACTATTTTTACCACTTTTATTTGATGCAAAAAAAATTGCCACATTTGTGAGTATTTTTACTATACCTATAAGTGTTTTTTATCACATTTGTAAATATTTTTTTTCACTATAGTAATCAAATTCCTTGGATTTATTAATCTAGGAGAGAACAACCATTGGGATAAAGTTTCAAGAATGTTAGTGAGACATAATTTATTGACTTATTTTACCGATCTAATTCACTATAATCATTGGATTAATTGTGGATCACATTAAACATTAGAATTTTGTGTTAACATAACGATTACAACGAAGTCACATTATTAGGGTAATAAATTAAGTCAAATTTTTTAATCTCATTTACCATTACTCTTAAATTAACTTTTGAGTTGAACTCAATTAGTAATACTATTGTCATTTAAAAAATTAACCTAATTTGTTAAAATTAATGATGTGACAACTCAATTAGTAATACTACTGTTATTTAGAAAATTAAATTAATTTATTGATCTAATGATGTAACAATAAAGTGATTTAATAATGTTATTGTGATCACAACTTTTAAACTTTTTTATTGAGATTTCATGATGTATATATCATTATATCAATAATTATATTAATTTTTTAAGTTCGTATAGCATTCCTCGAATTCTAGAAATTTTCTAAAAGTGGCTCATTTGAACTCCCATAAAAATATAATTGATGAATTAGAAATGTAGGGCTTTGGAAAAAATTATGAAAGCTGACTTGGGAACGTGTTATAGCCGCCCAATACTCAATCCAAAACCAAAGACTTCCAAGTCCACGCAGTCTTCTACCAGTTCTTTTCTTCTATACATTGCCTCTACTTCTTCATCGCCATTACCCTTCAGCTTCATCATCAGTCACCAGACTCACCACCATCATACACCATATCTTTCAAATCTGTTTCAAGAAAATTGTGATTATATAGCGTTCGAGTTATATTTGATTTTTTGAATTATTTCTATACGTGTTGTTCTGCGTCACAGTAAATGTATTGTTTTAGTATCTAATTATTAACATTTTATTTTGATTAAATAGTTGACATATAATAGTATACTTAATAGATTTAAATTTTACTATTAATAATTAATTCTAATTATATAAATACTTTGGATAACTGTCACTATGTGCCAACCTGAACTTGAACAGGCGAGGTTTGTCATAATTGTTCGATAACAAGTAATAGCTTGGGAATCACGAGGAAACAGTAAAAAAAGACTCCACCCATAAAACTTACCTTAAACAATAGTTATCACTTTTGAAAATTACATATCATTTGTAAAAAGTCACGTCACATCTAAGAGAAAAACCTCTAACAATCAAATATTCCTTTAAATATTATTTGATAAGTTTGTTAGGATTGCACCATTTTTTTTTAATAAAGGCACGCATGTACATTGCCTTGGGCCATAAGCAAGAAATCTTAGTCTATAACCTTCTTCTTCCTTAAGCAATACATTGCCAAGGAGCAAAATTTTTATTACAGTGGATTAAATCAGCTCTTTAGATGAGCGAACCACTTAATTTCTTTATACATTCTTACTCACTTTGCATTACATGTCTAACACACCTCATCAAGAGCTGATTCAGTTTTTCTCCCTCATGCTTGTCGATTTTTTATACCATCAAGTATTATAGAATTCACAACTCGATTAGAAGTAGTAGAACTCAAGCTCAAGTTCAACCCAGTATGAGTTTTCAAGTATATAATTTGTAAAAAGTCACGTCACATCTAAGAGAAAAACCTCTAACAATCAAATATTCCTTTAAATATTATTTGATAAGTTTGTTAGGATTGCACCATTTTTTTTTAATAAAGGCACGCATGTACATTGCCTTGGGCCATAAGCAAGAAATCTTAGTCTATAACCTTCTTCTTCCTTAAGCAATACATTGCCAAGGAGCAAAATTTTTTATTACAGTGGATTAAATCAGCTCTTTAGATGAGCGAATCACTTAATTTCTTTATACATTCTTACTCACTTTGCATTACATGTCTAACACACCTCATCAAGAGCTGATTCAGTTTTTCTCCCTCATGCTTGTCGATTTTTTATACCATAGTATTATAGAATTCACAACTCGATTAGAAGTAGTAGAACTCAAGCTCAAGTTCAACCCAGTATGAGTTTTCAAGTATATATTGGAGTCGAAATCGAGCTCAACTTTTCAACAAAAGAAAATATAAGAACTAACCGTAGAACTTAGTAATTAATCCTCATGTTATTTTAAACATCTTTCAAAATATATTTAATCAACCATAAAGTTTAATTCTTCAAAAAATCTATTGGAAAAGAGAATGCATATAACCTGGAGTTATTTGTGGCTAGTTTTGGGGTTGTTCACATTTCCAATAGAGTTTGCTTGGTAGTAAAATAAGAATTATGACGGGACTTTAGGCAGTATAGCAACCTCCAAACTGACACGTGAATTGATATAGTCGTTATGGAACTCAAAAGGCGCGGATGAGTTATTACTTAGAGGAGCCGAGTGAGTAGGTTGGGATCAGCATTTAAGGAGATATGACAACTCATTAATGAGGACTTGAGTGACTGTGACAGAGCTATTAATGAGTCTCTGCATCCTCAAGACCCCAAACTGACGGTCATAATTGCAGAGCATTAATGGTCATAACGCCGACTAGGTGTACTCGGCAAACCCCGATGTACTATACCCCGAGCATTAAAAACTCGGGAATAGGTGTCAAGCACCAATCAGAGGAACTTACATGACCGGGAGGTAGTAATAAGTGCTCAGCATGCCTCCGAGCGCTTGTCCTATCACCTGAGCATTGAACACTCATGAGGATCTGAGTGGAGAACATTCATTATGCGTGGAAAAGAGTGTAAGTCATTAAATGTCGTGATGAGACTCAAGACCCTTTCACTCATTAGTGGTACATGTATAAATACCTTTCAAAAAGTTGAACAAAAATACGCAAACTAAACGGAGAAAAAGATATACTATGCTCAACCCTCCAAACGTATACTGACTTAAGCTTCGGAGGAGATAAGTCGGGTGATCACCCGGCCCCTTTTCTGACCGCTTAGTTGTTTTAGGTTCATCATCGAGAGGATCGTTATCTCTATTTATTGCTGAAATTCTCCTGTTCTAAATTATTTATAGATAAGTAACGTATTTGAGTCGAGCTGAATTTTTTTTTGAGATATATGTTACTCAAATTTGATTTGTTTTTTTAAAGGAGTTCAAAATTTTGATTAAAATTCGGTTTATTTAATGATATTAATAAGTTAAAAGTGAGGCGGACTTGAACTTCTCAAATCATTTAACAAGCCTAGCTAAAGAAAAACCTACCTCAAACAAATATTGGGTTAAAGACCATAGTAGCCTAGCCACATTTTTATTCTTTCTCCATATATAATGTAATAGCCTGAAATTATCCAATATCCGCTCACTTTAACTCTCATATATTTTTCATCAATTTTTTGAATCATAAACCATTAATTATGAATTTAAGTGGCATTCAAAATATATAAATGAATCAATCCAAAAATTTCTAAGTCCACGCAGTCTTCCCCATAAGCTCTTACCACTCACCACCATCAAACACCTTCTCTATCAAACATCAAACCATGCTCACCTCTAATACTATTTGGGTCTAATCATATTTTTTATTCTTTTTTGTTAAAAATTGTAATTGTTAAAAATTGCCGGAATTCACTCATTTAAGTAGGATTTGGATTCTCGTAGTTTTTTTCAATTTCTATTAATAGTAGATCACTCTTCATAAATTTAAAGGGGAATCTAGCATGGGACAATTGTCCCTACTGCGGTTTTAAAAATTTTTGCAGTCTATTTGAAAATTTGAGAAATTTAACATTATTTAGAACTTGCCCTGATTGAAAGTTTGTAAAAAAATTGTTGAACTTCTCATACAACTCTATATTTAATCTCTAATTTTTTCTCTTCCTTTGCAACTAACGATGGCATTCGAATCATGTGATGGGACTTCGAATTTGAGTCGAGTATTAATTAATTCTAAAATAACTCATGTAATTAAGTATGTTAAGTGTGTTAACACTAATCCAGTCTGTTTATTAATTTTGTCAAGCACTAGAAGCCTTCTCTTACAACCAAACCTACCACCCATAAGTTGTGATAGATTCTTAGCACAAATAAGCTTGTCATAGATTCAACTTTTTCCATTAAAATTTATCATAGATTCAATTTGAATATTTATAATCCTTATAAGTTGTTTTTTTTTTTTTTTTGAAATCTAAGTTTATTAAAAATTAAATGTTGAAATACTAAGTTTTGAGTTGAGCTAAACAAATTAATTGTTAAATGAGTTGTGGATAAATTTGTTAATAAAAAATTAATTTTAAAACAAATACTTTTAACATTATTATTTTTAATTCATATAAAATTTAATTGTAATTATGTATATATCATGTATAAGTCAAGGTTATCGAGTTCATATTCATCAAAAATAGTATTAGGCACACATTAACCAATCCAAAGACTTGGAAGTCAAAGTCGTCCTCCATGCATATTTTTTTCTCTGAATATATTTCAAGCTCCACTTCAAATAGTCCATTATCTAAAATTTTTAAAATAGAATTGGTGCAGCAAAGGGATTGCATTATCTCCATACAGGTGCGAATCGCACGATCATTCACCGTGATGTGAAGTCCACCAATATTTTATTGGACGAGAAATGGGTGGCTAAGATTTCTGATTTTAGATTATCCAAACAGGATCCCATAGATGCGGGCCATAACCACATTAGCACAATGGTAAAGGATAGTTTCGGATATTTGCATCTAAAATATTATAAACGACAACAATTGACGGAGAAATCGGACGTGTACTCATTTGGGGTGGTTTTATTTGAGGTTTTATGTGGTAGGCCGGCTATAATTCTAGATTTACCCGAGGAGCAAGTGAATTTGGCTGAGTGGGCCCGACATTGTTATAAAAATGGGACCCTTGATCAGATTGTTGACCCTAATATAAGGGAGGAGATTGCGCCAGAGTGCTTGAAGAAGTTTGGAGAATTAGGTGATAGTTGCTTGCGTGAAAATGGGTTCAAACGACCAAGAATAAATAATGTTTTGTGAGGCCTTGAGTTTGCTTTGCAACTTCAAGAGGAGGTTGAGATGATGGGTCAGAGTGGCGGTGGTGGTGGGTTACTCCCTCTACTCCTCCTCTGCATGGAGAATTAACGACCAACGACGATGAAAACGTGTTAAGATCAACGGCCAACAGTGACAAAATAAAAAATAGGACTCTATTCTCAGAAATCATGAATCCTATGGGTTGATGAGAAGTGAAATGTTCTTGGGGTGGGTCCTACGTGAGGTTCCAGATTTTTGATCTTCACTTTGACTGACTTTTGAAGAGTAAGTACTTTATGCCATTTAGCTTACGTTGGTGGTCTTCTTGTTTGAGTTATTTACCGCAATAGAATTGTTTTTTAAACTTATTTATCTATACACAACATTTTTGAAATTAGACTACGATGTTTTTTAAAAGTGGGATTATTGATCTTGCTTCCATTTTACAATGGAGTTGTTGACTCCTTTTTTTTAATTAACAAAAAAATAGATTACATTGTTACAGAAATTACGGAGTCCTATATTGAGGACAATTTCAACATTTTGTGTGAAACAAAAGAATTGCTCTGATACAATGATTTAGTATTTCTATTTAAGATCAGCGAACGTTGTTTCTTTCTTTAAGCAGCAAAGAAAGTCGACATCACTCTATTAGCATCGACAATTAACGGTAAGGATTTTGTTTGTTATTTATTTATTTTACTTAAAACCATCAAAACTTATAATATATACTAATAAGCTTTTTGTTCAATGATATTTCTTACTTTGTGAATGATTTGTTTTTTTTGAAGTCAATGATTCAAGTCTTTTCTCTTTCTCCCCCAAAAAAAAATTATATTGCATAAACCCTATTTGTATTGTAAATTATGTAATAATCTTTTATGATAAATCAAATGTATGTTAAAATTGAAATTAATTTTATTCTAGCAATTTTTATCATTTACATTAAATTTCTGTATAGTGTCACACTATGAAGTCACTCTATAGCAAATTTAAAAATTCGGTTTAGATAAATTTTCAAAATTTGGGGTAATGTTTGGATTCATTTTTTGTTGACATACTATTTATAAACTGTATGTAATGAGTAGCAATTTGAAGATTTTATATTTATTAGTGAATTCACTCTTTATTATCACACTATTTTGGTGACTATATGAATGAGTATATTTTTTCTTATTTTGGGTGTTTATGCGTGAATTTGCTCTTTATTGTCATACTTTTACCTTAACTTTGTGAACTGAATACCAACTTTTAAAATTTTAGATTATTTGAGGATTCACTCTTTGTTGTCACACTATTACATTAGTTTCTTGAAAAATTATGTACTGTTTTTCATAGTTTGTGTGCGTTAATTGTGTATTCATGCTTTGTTGTCACTCTTTTACCCTAGTTTTGTGAATTGAGTGCCAATTTTCAATTTTTTGTATTTATGTGTGGATGCACTCTTTTCTTCACATTATCACAATTACTTATTGAATTGAGTACAATACCATAAAGTGAAAAATTGATTTTATTGCTTGTCCACTACAGAAATTGCTTTGTGTTCATATAGAGACACTATAGAGCGACAACTGATTTCATGGCTTGGCCACTATATAGTACAACAAATATTGGATTGTGTCATAGAGAGACAACATAGTGACAAACTGATTTCATGCCTTTGTCACTACAATTACAAACAAACATTATACCATCCTTTGTCACTCTATTATACTAGTTTTTTTTTTTTTTTTTTTGTGTTATGTATAGATTCACTTAGTTGTTATCATATTATTACATAAGTTGAATAACTTTTCCTAAGACATGGCAAAAACAAGGTTGTCTTCTAAAAATAAATATGAACTCAAGCATAGGGAACCAGTGACAGCACAAGACGTTGAAACATCGCAACAAAAGGGTTTATAAAACATTAATCAAAGTGAAGGAACCATGAATGTGGGTAAATATGATCCACAATATAAAACAAAAAGATCCAATGTGTGGTAGTTGAAGAAAATGTACTCCAATTACAACCTGTTTCGAAAAAAAATGTCTTTATGCATAGATAACGTCGATTTGATTCAGTTACAACTTCGAACAAACGTAAATGATTAACGAAGATAGATTTTGTTGTTAGTTTGAAAAAAAAATTCAATAGCTTAAGAACAAACAACAAAAAAAAAAGGTAATTAAATGAAAATTTCGCACCTGATAATGAAGAAACAACAATGGCTAAACAACACACAATGCCAACCTTTAGTTTGCAAAATATCAATGACTAAATAATATGAAGTTCGGTTTTTAATGACAGAATTTTTGAAAAAACCCAATTTCTGGTTCAAAAAAAAAAACCAATGGCCCGAATAACACACAATTCTGGTTGCTATTTCGCAAAATGTTAGTGGCTGAATAATATGAAGTTGGACCATTAATGACAGAATTTTGAGAATTAATTTTTAAAATTCAAACGATTTCTGAAATTCAAAGTTTGAAAATCTCTTGTATAAGATTTACATACTGAAAAAAGAAAAAATATTATGCATGAAATAAGTTCGAGGTAATTAGGTAATACACC